ATGCAGAATTTTCAGTGCTTCTGCTTTTACTATTAAGCCAAGAGTACTCTGATAATCTTTCTGTCTTCTGATTTCCAATTATGATTCCAATGAAGCACATTCAATTAGTATCCCTCCTTTCCTTCTCAGGGTTATCAGTGAAAACATTATCTTCAAGGAAGCACCCCTGTCCCACGGCTAGCCTCATTTTATCACACATTTCTCCATGAGGAATAAAACAGCCATCAAATCTTTTCTTTGGAAAGGTTTTCCTCAGTTGAAATTAGTGTGAGATGGTCTTCCTTTTTCCCATAGAAAGCAAAGGGCAGGGTCTGCTTTGAAAAAAAAGCAATAATGAAAAGCGTATAATCCTATAGAAATATTTTAATGCATTAATACCATTATGGCTTTAATTAAATGTCAAGAACAGTTATGCCATTGCTTACAATTGAACGCTATTAAGTGTGTGTGTGTAGCAGTTCAAAAGAGTTCAGTTGCTAAAACATGCATAGAAGGTTGCATGGGGAATAGATATATGTTTGGCATAAAATCAAATTAACGTCAGATCCAAAGTGCAATATTCTTTTAAAGGTGGAGGTGGACCTTTGGGAAAAGCCAGGCTTAGCTTGATGTGTCCAGAAGTTCTTCTTAGACCAGCAGAGGGGATGTGGCTCTTTGTTAGAACATCTGTTTGCATTCTTGGCCATCTACATTCAAACCCTCACCTCTCAGTTTGAAACAAATCAAATTGTGCAGTACGAAGAGGTGGTTGCAGAGACTATAACATCAATCTGCAGATGAAGGAAAACACATTATTGAATACTCCCCTGTATATACAATCTGCCTGTATATGGGGGGGGGGGACCTTTTTGTATAGAGCAAATCACCACTTTGGGGAAAAGCTGAAGCTATCCTTCTTGCAAATGTCCTGATTTTTATTTTCTAAGAAAGCTTAGAGGGCCATTTGAGACCCAGAGTCAGTCCTGGAAATACAGATGAGGCCAGAGGCTTGCTCTCTTTGTTTAGTTGTGTATCTTTTTCTTTTCAATAAAAATAATTTTTAATCATGAGAAACCAGGTGTCACATGGAGCCTGATAGCACTATGACGTGAATTGAGGAAGTCTCTGTGTACACTGGCTTTTTCATGTCTTATGTTGCTGACCCCAGTTTCAGCTGCTGGCCTCCAGCTCGTGAAAAGGGAGAAGGTTAATTTTTATTTAGTTCTTAGTTTCAGAAGCTCGACATCATACAGAAGCTCCAAGTTTGACTTAATTGTGTTTGGTGATTAGAACTGTTTCACTTAATAATGGGATAGAAATAGTTCTTGGTATTAAAGCTTATGAATCATGTGGATCTGGTAGAACTTAATGAGCCTGCCGGATATCCACTTACTAACCCAGGATGCGTGGCATACTTCCATTTCCCATGTTTCATAGTTAGAGTGCCTTACATCAGGGATTCTTATTGTGTCACGCATATAGGTGGACGCCGTCCTTAAGACCCATTCTACTTTTATTTTCTCAGATATGAAACGTAAACAAATTGCAAACTAAAATGGCATGCTGTAAAGCCACATAACATCTTTCCAGACAAATCCTGATTTCCAAGAATGTGGTTAGATTCCACATAAGCATTCCTAGAAAATGAAAATGGAGAGTGGCTGTGATCCAATGCTTTGTTAAGTAGCAGGCCCACCAGCCCAGAAGAGGAGGAGGAGGAGGAAGGAGAAATGATAAAGCTGTGGATTACACAGTGACTACTTTGGAGGACTAGAGAAGGTGGCAGGGAGCAACTGTGCCAATTTGCTTTCTGGCAAATTGGTATTCTGCTGGTCATACCACATTCTCCCCCACAGCTATTTTTTTGAAGCACCCATGACCTTCTCCTATGTGCCCAAGGCCTCAAACTTTGAAGAGCTCTGTGTCACATTTTGAAAGGAGAAACGGATCACAAGAAGAGAACAAGCATCATTCTGGCCCTAGCAGTTTCTTCACTGGAAGCAATATGTGGTCACTTTGTTAGAGGTATGCATGGAACGGACAGTAAGTTCTGTCGCTCTGTTCCAAGCTCAAGATTTTTTTAGACAGAGCAGCTATAACTGTTTGCCTATCCCAGGCACCATCAATCTAGAATCTGGAGCAAACGCAGATTTAGCAAACAGTGGGAAGCTGCAGAGTTCTGTGAGGACCACTAGAGGCAATAGAGAGAAACTTGGGGGGGGGACCTCTCTTTGCTCCCATCTACTGATCATTGAAAGGAAAAAGCTGGGTTCTTTAAAACACCCATCCAGATATTTAAAGAAAGGATACTCTGCACCCATTTCTGCAGAGCCTAGCACTGGCTAGCTGTCTCCCCAAACCCCTCAAAAATTGATTTACAGTTTGTACCCCCCCCCAAAAAAAAGCAGGGGGAGAAGACAGATCACCCTGAGAAACTTACAAAATATTAAAAAATGTGACTGATCACTGTGTTGAACCAGGGTGTTAGGAAATTACTCTTTCTGCTTAAATAGAAGAAAGGAACTATGCAATATAATTAGAGGCTATCTGGAAGTTGAAAGCCAATTGGTTTGTTAAGCTTCAGGGGTGCTAGATCTCCTGGGATTGAAACCATTCTGTGATTCCTTATTATACCAAGAAAATTTAAAACCAATCATGTTTTCCCCATGCCCTAAATATGTTCAGGATAATTGTTTGGGGAGCAGAGGAGAGACAGTGAAATTAATCAGTTTTTTAAAAAAAAACCTCCCACCCCAAGCTCCTTCTTGACCACGTTGTGAACATCCTGGCACACCAACATCACCTTCTGTGAAAACTGAAGATACCTTGGCTCACTCATTAATCTTCTTGACTTCTTCAGTTAAAATGGGACAGAAACCTTTAGGCAGCCTCTGTCCTCTTCCTTTCCCCATCTCCAGAAAGATTTTCTGTAAGTTGCAATTAAAGTGGATTTACTTCATCAGAAGGCAGAAAGGGGCAAGCAGGGCAAGCATGGTTCCTTTTGATCAATGACATTTCTGAACATAATGACCAATTTATTTAGTCACAAATTATTTATGACTCTCTCAGACCGGGGGTGGGGGGACGTCCCTAGTCTTACCAAACCTGTACCTTTTAATAAAGCAGTAACTGGGGCGGGGGGGGAGAGTCATCGTATTGAAGAAATGTTTAATTTACGATGGGGCAAAAAAAGGTGCAAAGCAACTGAAATGGCAGGGAATTTGTGGTAAAATAAGAAATAGAACACCTGGGTTTTTACTCAAGTATGAATATTTTGAATCACAAATAACTGGAAGACTGGTGCTTCTAAGAGTCATATGTTTTGAACTTTCTGGTTCAGTATATGTATATTGTCATTATTATGGGTATTACATAAATGAGGTTTTGTATTTTGCAAAGATCAGCTGTGCAAATCTTTTGATTCCTGCCGGGAGAGAGTCACTGTGTCTTCCTTAAGGAATCCCTGCCAACCATAAGGGGAAGACAGGTTTTGCTTTCAAAAGAGCCTTCATTGATTAGACTACTGATAGACACCTCCTAAGAAGTCAGGGGCTCATGACTTTTGGATGACCACGGAAGACCAACTAATGACTCACTTAAGGGTCACAGAGATTTTTGAAAGGGGTAAAGGGTGGAAGACAAACCATTTCCATTCCTACTCTTAAACCTCCACTCTCCCCCAAAGCTAAGACACAACCAAATTAGGCCATTTTGTAGTTGCGTTTTGGCAGTGCAATCCTGGGGAACTGCAACAATTCACAAACAGGTTGCTGACCCTGAGTTAGATCCTGTCGGTGTCTGCAGGGGCAGGATAAGCCTTTCCGTTGCCTACCAGCACCAGTGCAGGCAGAACCAACCAAGTAAAACAGATGTCCTTGGTAGGAGTAGTTGATAATCAAGAAAGGAAGTGTTCTCTGCCAATAGCTTCCAGAACGTAATTGGAGAGCAGCATACTCTCCTTTTGCACTATCAAGGCAAAATAGAGAAAGCTCACAGTCATAATCATGAGCAAGAAATAAGCTAAGGACAACCATTGGCACTTCCCCTTTGACAAATCCCATATGATGCCCACCCTTCCCTCTTTTCCATGAGCCTGACACCTCTTCTGATTTCCCTCTCCTGTACCACCAGAAGAAAGTTCTTTTCTACAATCAGAAGAACTCCTCTCTCCCAGATCAATGGAGGCTCTTTTAAAGCATGGGAGACATTTCTGAGCAGAGTTGCCTACTAACTGAAAGAAAGCAAAATATTTGCCATCAGGTATACTACCATGGAGAGAGTGGGGTTGTGTGCATTAGACCTTCTTTGTGCTTTCGGTGATCCTCACACATGCTTTGCAAACAGAAGATCCTGGGTTCAGTGCTAGGCTACCCTAGGTAAAATTGACTTGTAACAAGGAGAAGTGGGAGTGTGTACGTTCTCGACTTGGGGAGCCAGTCCAGTTAATGTAGGCAGTCTGGGCTAGTTAGCCAATGAGTTGGACCTGGTTTAAAGGAACTTTCTATGAGAAATGATATTTATTTTTGGGAAGTGGATTGTTCATTAGAGGAATCAATGATTTTTAAAAACATGCCAATAGCCATGTTGATGCTGGTTGAGAAGTGTGACATGGAAGTGATGCTCAAATCTTGATCCCAAAGGCATATGCAATGAAGATTTTGGGGGGGGGGGGGCGTTCATACTAACAAGGGCACACATCTTTGTAAGTTAATAGCCTGATAAAACATTTTAAAGATATCAATTACACTCTGCTTGGATGCATTGCTGAATCTTTTGTCTGCAATATTGGTTGCTGTTTCCTTCTCCCCATCCTGTCCCTTGTTATGACATCTATTTAAATGATGCTCGAAAGGGAAAAATTAGCTTAGAACAAAGACCGCTCAGTGATAAGTGCACGTTTTGCGTAGCGCCTCTTTGTAAATCAGCATATCCTGGTCTGTGGCTGTTGCATTGGGTTTTTATTGTCTTGAATAAATACATTCTGGGAATATAATTGTACCTTCTGTTGTAACAACAACTAGGGGGGAATTTCGAGAGCTCTTTCGAAGCTGACAAAGGTGTGGGGACTATTGTCGTCGCAAAACCCTTGGATGCAGAGCAGAGGTCGGTGTACAACATGACAGTGGAAGTCACCGATGGAACCAATGTGGCCAGCACTCAGGTAGCATCTGTTATCACGTCTGTCCCAATTCACACTTAACATTTATTAAAATGCACCTCTAGTTCATGAATAAGTTCATCTTGTTCTAGGAAAGGAATCTCTGAGAGTAAATCAGCTAAATTGTGTATTTGCTTCTTATGTACCGTTATTACATGTATATCTCGCCTTACTATTCCAAGGAATGGGGTTCAGTGTGTCAAGTCCCTCTCCCTTTCCTATTCACTTGTCCCATGAAGGAGGTTGGGCTCAGACAGTCTTCTCCATGTGTCGGGAGCGCAACATTTGGCCATGCTGAGTGGGAAATCTGGAGTTTCCAATCTCCACTTAATAACACTGGGCTGAAAGATAGGAGCAAAGTGAAAATCACAAGGCTGAGTGGGAACTGAATCTAGGTCTCCCCAATCCTACTCTAATAATCATGGAGGATCATGGTTACATCACAGTGTGGATCCATTGCTGAGTCTTTTGTCTGTAATATCCCGTCGCTTCATTGGTTCTGGGCTGAGTTTTGTGAAAGACTGTGGTTGCGACAGAGCTTTGTTCATCAACAGCACCCCTCCTTTGCCTCTGCCACATGCCATGCTGTGTATCTCACACACTGCATCATCTGCTGTGGCATGGGTAAAAGAGATCAGCAACAATTCACTGTCAGGGACTGCGTACTCAAAGGTAGTGAATATATCCCTTACAAACACATGTTTCTCCATGCTTCCTCACATTTTCACGATTGGAACACACAAAAGAAAGTGGGAAGCATACTAAAGTAAGCCCTTTCTCCCTTGAATTAGTGGAGGAGGTGGAGAATACTGAAGGTCAGAAGAAAATATCCAGGTCCAAACACATAAGACTGAGGTCCATATTCTCATTGTTAAGTGCATCTTTAAAATGCCCAAACTTACGGGATTGCCAAATCGTTTTGAACTTGTCAAATCTTGTGAAATTTCAGGCTGAAATAGATAAATGTCACCGTTCTTATGTGAGATCAGATTATGCTTTGCTGAAATAGGACATTTAACAATCTCAGACGATCTTGATTAAAGGGTAAAAAGAATGAAATAGAACAGAGGGGGTATACTTCGACCATTGTGCAAAATTGTCCAGTGTGAAAAGACATTTAGTCCTTCAATTAAACTTGCTTGGATGAGGGAGGGGAGGTTGGTCAATCTGACCATCTGTTTTTCCATTCATGTCCAGTATAAAGTACCTACTTTCTGGCCAACTGATCTAGGATTTTTACTTACTGGTACTTTCTGAGGATGATCTCTGTAGCGTCTGTGCATTCCAAAGAATATGTTTCTGTGACCAAAAACATTGTTTCGTTGTTTTTTCCCCCCAGTGGATTCATGCTACGATTAGGAACAATGCCAGAGAAGAGATTAGCCATTTCCTTATGACCCTTACAATATCTCATTTCCCATCCCGACAATGTAGCCTTTTGCTTTTTATGCTCAAATGCACCTGCATTTTTTCCTGATACTTGCCAAATTGGGGTGGGGGGTAATTCTAGAAAGAATGGGTAGCAGTAAAAAAAAAAAAGAAGAAGGATCCAATAAGTCAATAGATTTGTAAAGCCTTAAATTCTCCTGTGGCATTCTGAATGTTGGCCACCAAGCAACCGAGCTCCAATTTGTGGAATGAAACTACATATATATAATTGGATAGGACTTGCTGATCCTTTTCTTTTTTGCCCTGGCAGTGTGTTTGCTATGCTGTTGGAGGAGGCAAAAGACATTGTCAAAATGCCAGAAATGTTTTCCTACAGTAATGTGATCAGTGAGGTGGATCTGTGAAACAGTTTTAGTTTCTGTAATGAGATGGCTGCCACCCAGTTACAGGTTTGGGTTTTCTTTTCTGCCTGAAGACCATGATGATTTCCTTCTCCCTTTTCAGCCACTGCTTATGGTCCATTACTACTGTAGTAACGGGAATCAAATGATGGTGGTTTACAATTCACACAAGGGTTAAGTTACTTGTGTATTAGCTTTGATGGCAGCTGACCAAAAGAACTTAAGGGATCTGAGTGGGCTCTGAGCCATCCTCGGTAAATTCAGGGAGTTATCTCAGGCATTTGGGGCTAGGAAAATGTGGAATAAAAAAAAAATGGATTCAAGCTGACTCCCAAAGCAACAGCTTTGCGGTATTGCATTATTGGTCCCAATCATCTGTCTTCAGCATTCTCAGTCTCTTGGAGGGTAGAAAGCTACTAGTAGTGCTTTAATGCTAGCAAAGTTCTATTTTAATGCCTCTTTGCAAGGACTTCAAGCTGAACAGTGATGGCGGGGGTGGTAGTTGTGGGGAGAACGTTGATTTATGATCTGAGAATGAGTATGAAGGAACCTGTCAGGTTGATTAACTTCAACGAAGGTTGAGTCAAGAAGACCATGCCAACAAGAGGCTTTGCCTGCTTCCTCTGCTTAATTCTTAACTTCTTTCAGTCATGTGGCAGTTTACAGATTTGTATATGCCATCTTTTTTACAATTGCCTCAGTATGTTTGTATTAATCTTTCCCTCATCTGAAAATTCAGGAAATGGAGCATCTCCTCTGCTTAAATTTAACTCATGGATTGTGAATGCAGTGGTGCATTCACGTATGACGCTTAACTATGCCTCTTTCCAGCATCATAAATTCTCCTTCCCTCCCATACCCAAGAGGAGCAATTCAGAAGCCACTTGTTTTAGTGTCTCAACCTCAAACTGTGATTAATACAAACCATGGCTTATTTAGGCCATCTTTACTGATTGAAAATGGTTTGTTTTAAATTAACTGTAGTACAGTAACCGTAATCAAACTTTGCAGTTTGAATTAGGGAACAAACCACAATCAATCAGTAGTAGAGGTCTGTGTACTTTTCTGCCCTTTTTGCAAAGAAGAAGAAGAAAGGCATTTAGAAAACTCCAGAGCTCATTAGATGTCCATGATAAACACACATTATGTAACATTATCTAGTATTTTTATCTAGTATTATTTTTTCGCTAATTTAATATGGATATTTATATTTTTACTGTTTTTAATGTTTGATGTTAATTGTGAGCCGCCCAGAGTCACCCACTGGGAGAGATGGGCGGCATATAAATTTAATAAATAAATAAACTGGACTGTATTCTAGTGAGAATCACATCACCAGACACTGCATGTGCGTGTATGGATATGCTCCAAACTTTTGGGATCTGTATATTACAAGAGGTGTAGAAATTGAAATTGAAATTAAAATCAGAAAGCCTTGTTCTTGTGTTGATGATATGTATATGAGTTTGGATAAAGATTGATATTTATTCTTTAGTAACATTTGTCAGAGTAACCATAATCTAGAGCAAACTAAGACTATTTTTGATGGGCACCATGGGTTTCAGATTAGGAAGAGACTTGCTTGCCTTCTATTTTATCTGCTTGGATTTAATTGTATTTCTTCAGGTCTTTCAAAGTGTAGTTTTTTTGGGGGGGGGGTTGGGTTTTTTTCCCCAATTCAGTACATCACATTTGGAAATGCTTTGAATGTTGTTGCCAAATTTAGAAGCCAAAAAGGTTCAAAGAGTCTTTATTGAGATTGCTTTAACCATGTGAAATGGGAAAGGAGAAGGAAATACTTCAAATTGACGCAGTGTCTCTTGGCTGTAAATAAGATTGTTTAGGTGTAATGCCCAGAAGGGCCAATGAAGTAACAAAGTATATCATGGCTACCTCCCTTGTTTTTCTGTGGGTGGCCTGGGGAGAATGGAAGATAGAATGCCAGTGAAAAGGAGATGTAACAACAGCAACAAAACACATGTCAACAACAAGGAGGTGCTCAAACCCTTATTTCTGGCATTTATTTTCTGTGGGTAAGAAAGTAACCTGGGTGCCCACCAAGGAGACCAAAGTGGCGTAAGACATCTTTATAGTATGATACGAAATGGACAAATGGAATAAAACAGATCACTGTTCACCTTAGAAAAGGTTTGTGATTTAAGAGACGTCTTCACAGCATTGCTTAGTAAGAGCATGTGAATGAGAAGAGGTTCCAGGTGTCCAAACAAACTCCCCTTCCTTTATGCCTTCCCCCTAAGGAGAGGTTCCCAGCAGAACTTTCTCGTGGGGGCATTTGTCATGACACTGTTCTACAGCCCTATTCTTTCTCCTTCCTTTCCTTGATGTTTAAAGCTTCCAGACACAAAATGGCAAGCTGCAGAATCAGTCCCGTGATTTGGTGCCTAGGCAGTCATTCTGATGCATGGAAGGAGTTGTGCAATAGGATTTTGTGGAGCTGAACCTTTCATGTCCTTCTGAGGTACAACAGATGTCTTTTTGTATCATTTCTAATAATGTGGCAGAACCTCAGAGATACAGAACGTAAAGCTGCAGGCAACTGAATTCATTATCCAAAACACCCACTGCTTGATGGGTTACCCATAGTACGGTCTGATCTTAACCACCTTGCAATTTACCAACAAAATATATAAGCCAGTTACAGTATTTTTTATTACTCAATTCATTGCCAGCTTTTCTCAGTCATGGAAGCTTGTTGTGGGTCTCACATCCCCACAGCAACGCTAATATTAACTACTATGACAGATAAATTGGCTTGCCTAGGGCCATGATGTCTGGCTAGGATTTTTTCTCCAGTCTTCTTGAGTTCAAATCCAACTGTCTAATTGATCAGTGTGACTCTTTTGCTACCACTGGTTTATCTCTTCAGGTTTATAGGGCAATCCCCCTTAAGGTTTGTGAAATGTGATAAAAGTAGGACAATAACAACAGCAAAGATCTGCTTGCAGTCCCTCATTCTTTCCCCTGCAGATTGTCAAGCCAATCACAGCAATATGTCATCAGATTAGAACATAACTGAGATGTTGCTGACTTATTTCTGAACCCAAGTCACGACCCAAACAGGCAAGGTTTCCAAAGGTTCAAAGGGAAGGATCATCTAACAAGATCAAACCTATATAAGCCTAACCAATACATAACAGTGTTTATTGCCAGGAACAACAATTCCCTCCTGCAGAAAAATAGCCTTAGGGTAAGTTATATTATTTAGGACCTAGAGGAAAAAAAAGAATGGGAAAAAATTGCTGGGATTTCACAAATTTGGCTGACTTGAATTGTCAAGGTCATTAGCTGCCCCTGTTTTCCTTATGCAAAGAACTTCAGGTCTAAAGAAGGGTTTATTCTTGCATATAGTTTGTGTAAATGCTACTGTCAGCATTTTCCTCCTGATGTCTCTTGCAAAAGTCCAAGGAGAAACAATTTCTTTTTTCCAGAGAAAAATTGGGAGGGAAAGGGTTTTCTTTCCCATTTTGTCCTCCCCTAAAACACAGGATAATCTCAGTATCTTGTTCTATTTGGCTTCTGCCATCTTTTGCAAAATTCCAACAGGAAGGAAGAGGTACCAAGTTCTCAAGGGGGAAAAAAATCAAGCTATTTTCTTTCCTTCCCCCCACCCCCGCCAAATGTTGGTAAAAGTGTGTGGTAGCTAGCATGTTCAGCAAATAAATAATTCATGGGGGGGGGAACAGATTATGAAAAGAAGCTACTTCCCCTTTCTCTATTGAGTGATTAGAGAGGAAGGAAATATACTTTTTTCCTTCAAAGAGAAGGGAGAAAGAGATAGTCCCTTGTCCAAGAGTTGGGATATTCCAGAAGAAGACATGTACCTTCAGAGGGGGAAAGTATTTTGATACCTTGCAGAATAAAGTAGGTTTTATCACTAGGCAAAGCAGAGTGAGAAGAATGTTCTATGTCCCATAGAAACCAGTGCACACACACACACACCTTCTCCCTGACAGTCTAACTCCCCAAGTCCTTTCCTCTTGGACCAAAGCAATGCATGAAAAACTGGAACTCTTGAATTTTTCTTCAAGTGCACATGAAGCATTTTTCACATTACTTTGGTCACCTAATGCGAAGATAGGACTCTTTGGAAAAGACCCTGATGCTGGGAAAGA